CATCATGAAACCATTGCTACTACTCCCAACTCCCCCCAAATGTTGACAAACATCAATGTTTATCAATAAAAGACCTTTGTAAATACTAAAGAATACCCTTGAAAATACTAAAGAATGAGAATGGGGAAGGAAATAAAAACAAACTATTAAGAGCTTATAAAAAACCCATAAGAAAATCACTTGTATTAAAATAGAACATACGGACAAAGAATCTGAACAATTAACATTTTAAAAGGTAATCTTAAATGGATAGGAAAGAAGAAAAAATTTAAAAACGTATTAAACGAAAAAAGTTAATTGTGGGCAATTTGATAATTTAAAAATTATACTATTCAAACAGGTGAGGTGCAGTGAGCCAGACCCATTCTGCATGTGAACTTGGAAATGGACAGCTGCTTGATAAAATGTCTCAGGAACCTGTGTCTTTGATGCAGAAATTCTCAACCTCTAGGAATTATTTCATAATGTCAATGAAATACCTTTGACATTTACTTAAGCATTGTTTTTTGTTTTTTGGTACCAGGGACTGAACCCAGGGGTACTTAACCACTGAGTCACATCCGCAGCCCTTTTTACTTTCTACTTTGAGACAAGTTCTCTCTGAGTGGCTTAGGACCTCACTAAATTGCTGGAGGCTGGCTTTGGACTCATGATCCTCCTGCCTCAGCCTTCTGAGTTCCTGGGATTATAGGTGTGACCCACCACACCTGGCTAGCATTGTTTTTAATAATGAAAACTTAAAGCCTCATAAGTGTCCAGCAATAGAGGAAGCTGTAAGAAAATTCTTTCTAAATTATTTTATAAGAAATTTAATGGAAATATTTTGCAACAAAAGGTAAATAAATCTATGATTTTTAATTGTGTATACATGTCCAAATCTCAGCCAAAAACTAATGGGAAACACGTCAAGAAATTCATATTATAATAGTATTTCTCTGAGTCGTTTGGGTTCTTTTCTTTGGGGTGTTCTCCATGATAAAAATGCATTGATTTAAAAAGAGAGCAAAATAAACATTATTTTAGATGGAAACATTTTACTTCTTAAAGTCTCAACAGTATAGACTTTTCCCTCATGGGAATCGACGCTGCTTTAAAGGGCTGAAAGTGTCACTCTATTGAAACTAGAAGTTTGAAAGCAGAAGCAAACTCTCCTCCACAGAGGTGAAGGGAAACACAAGGTCCTCCTCCCCTCTGAGGACCCATTCCTACTCCCCTTCGCTCCTCCTCTTGTAGTGTTCTTGGGCAGAGAAAGCCCACCCTCTGCTCAGGCCTTGGCTCAGTGCCCTCACTTCAAATCATGTAATTTTTTTTCCATTCACCTGATTCTTGGTAACTCTTGGGTTCCTTTCAAACTCCCTCAGCATTCACAGTTGTGTTCAAGCTGGTCACTAGATAGCAGCATGATTTGCCTCAGGCCAGAAAATGGTTTCCTAATTGGGAGTCCTGGGTTCCCACTTCCTGGCGTCTGCCTGGGGCTCAGCCATGAGGGAAGAGCCAGTCACTGGGAACCACCAAAAAGTCCCTACTCCCCATCTCGTGTCATTGTCCCCCTGGGATATCTCTCCACTTCATGTCTCTTCCACTGACTTGGCCACAGTCATCTTGTCACCAGGCAACTCTAACAACTCCTCTAACTCCAGTCTAATCCTACCATCTAACTGGCGCCATCTTTCTAAAATAAAATCTCATGACCCCTGGAAGCCCCTCAACCCCTACCATCTTGCCCATCACTACTACTCTTGAAACAGATTCTAAAATCAGTAACTTACCCTTCCTAACCTCTTGGATATCACTAGCTTCCCCTCACTTATGTATGTATTTATTTACTCCATGAATTTTGATGGAGCATTTTCTAAGTGTCAGGCACCGCACTAGGTACAAGAGAGAGAGTCACGAAAGGTACACACCATGTAGTCAAGGAAGTCAGTCTTCACTGGAGTTTCTTTCTGTCCTGGCTCCTCAAGAGTGTGATTGTAGACTAGTAGCATCAGCATCACCTGGGAGCAGAACCTCACACCCTTCTTCAGACTCGCTACATAGACATTTGCATTTCTATGCCAGCCTCAGCAATTTAGTGAGGTCCTAAGCCACTGTGTAGGTCAAGTCTGAGAAGCATTGCTCTGCAACTCTGGAGCCCTCAGTCTCCTTCTCTCCCCTGCTGCCCTCTACAGATACATTTCATTAGCCAGGGATGTTTCTCGCCCTGTTCTTTGCCAACTCCCATCTTCCCTTTAGTTTCTGCAAGGATTTCATGTCTTCTAAGTGAGGGTTAAGGGACCCACCTATATGGTATCTCCATCGAAATATTTATGGCTCTGTGTTGTGGAGATTGCCACCACCCCTACAAATGCTGCAAGAGCAGACATTGCATCTCTTCTCAAACCTATATCTCTAACAGCAAGGCCAGTATCTGATGTAGCTGGTCAATAAAAAGCTGTTGAAAGAAACAAGAGTCCAATGCAACTGTATAACTCCCAGGCTTAACAAATAATGTAAAATTTCTAAATTCCTCAGGAGAGGGTGGGACTTGGAGGGGGTTGGGGGACAGTGATCAGACTCCTAGAAAGAAATCATTTCCTTATTTTCATGTCTCATTTCCTCAATTTCTTGCCCAAGGCGTTATGTACAGGGTTAACCTGTATGGAACCTCTGCTGGCACATTAGATGTCTCTGTGTAAATCACAGAGAGAAACTCCTTCCTACCATAGATGCAATTTCAGACCAGGGCATGTAGAAGACTCAGCAAGCAAATGACAAGCTGATTTCTTGTTGGCCCCTAGGCAGGGTGTAGCCTTTATAACTATATGTGGTGGCCTGCCTTGTGCCCACAATTAGACTGGGAAGAAAGGCCACAGAGTGAACACTAAACGTCAGGCCCTGGCACTACATGACCTCGGACGAAAAATTTAACTTTCACCATACCTACTTCACAGGGCTTAGAGAATCAATAATGTTAAAATAGGGTCAAGTCATACCTTACATAAAGTTTAATTTCTAAAATTAAAGGCTGTATTTTAAAAATGGGTATAACCATAATTACTCTTAAAACATCTTAATATCCATAGAGTCCTGTGCCCAGGTCAACGTGCCACTTTGGAGGTCGTCACTTACCAATCAATAAACCTACCACAACCTCCAGGGAGAGGAGAGATGTCGACTCTTCAGTAGACCATAAGTTGAACTAATTGGCTTGTGTGGATAGTTCATGAACTAGCTGGCTTACATAGAGAGTTCATGTCTATATGAAATACAGAACTTTCAATTTCACACTCATTTTCAGTACAGTAAGACACTCATCATACAGGTCCTTCAGCTCCAAGGACAGATGGAGTATGGAAGGTTCCCTTTTCCCATCTCTTACTCATACTCACCACAAGAAATGGCAAGTAAAATCACTAATGCAATTTAATTTTTTAAATATTTATTTATTTTTTAATTGTAGGTGAACACAATATCTTTACTTCATTTTTACATGGTGCTAAGGATCGAAGCTAGGGCCTCACGTGTGCTAGGCAAGCACTCTACCACTGAGCCACAACCCCAGCCCACTAATGCAATTTAAATTATGTTTCCCTCTCTCTTTTTTTGCCAAATACATATAGTTAGAATCTGGGCGAGTTATAGTTAGAATGCATAGTCTAATAAAGCTCAAGAACTCTCAAGTAAAATGTATATGCAAGGTATTCTTTATGTGATACACCTACCCAGTCAGTGTTCTGTGTCATGGAGAAAGTCCTACTGTCCAGTACATGGAGCTGCAGTGTAGAAAACCACCAGCTTACTCAGCTCAGGACACACGTGCAGACCACATCTGCCCATGAGAAGGCTGCTGCAAGGTGCTCCTGGTAAGAGCTGCTGCTTGAGCTGTGCTCACCCAAGGGGAAGGACGGGTATGGAGCTCCTCCCCATCTTTCCCCTCTTTCCCGTTATAGCTAAAAGTGGGACAGAAACAAGATCTACTGGCTGAGGGAGAAAGCTAGAGCAGAATGAAAGCTGTGGGAACAGCCCCCTTGAATTTATTGAAGGCCATGGTTCATTTTTCAGATCGATATCTGCACAGGCCACCAAGCAAACAATCCTCTCCGTTGCTCCAACAGTCTAGACAGAACAAAGGAGTCCCAGCTCCTTCCAGATAAAAGCAACATGTGCCCTTTGCTTTCCAGAGTGAAGAATCACTGAGACCTGAATATACCACCAAATAAACACCTATCCTTGTGCCCATCTGGGCCATTCTGGAATGTTCTACTGAATCAAAAACCTACTAATCAACCCTACATATAAAAACAGGACTCTTCACAAACAAAATAGTGTTTTAAAACAGAAACAAAGCACTATTTAACATCTCTGAAGGCCTGCTAGGACCATGTGTTCATTTTCCATGCAAATTAACATAGCTAATCTCTCTTGACAAGAAATTTCTTAAGAGAAAAGCAAGTTTCATACTTGTAAGTGGCTATTGACCTAGAAATCTCATTAACACACTTGATGGAAATAATAGTAACCAAAACAAACACAAATAAATAATGGATTATTATTAATACCTATCTCCTAAGGCCATGAGAAGAACAAAATTTTATTCAGAAACTTGATTGGGCATCTAGTGAAGTTATTACTGCTCTACAGGCACTGTGGAAGACAGAAACAAAGATAAATTGAACAGTTTCTGTCCTACCATGTCCCTCCCACTTTAAGAAGCTTAGTCGACAAGAGCCTTAAGCCAGCATCTCACCATAAGGGAACTCATAGGGAGAACACTAACTCTTGTCAGCAAAATAGATGAAGAAGTCTTAACAGGTTAATGACAAGAACTTCATCAAATGTTCCTGTGAGGAGAAGTGTAACTGATCAATCATATATTTATCCCAATATATACAATGGCTTCAAGTAATTGAATTCACTTGATGGGAAAGAAGAAAAACCAAGACAGCAACAGAGGAGAAGGAGAGATTTTGCTATTTCAAGCACATAAAGGTCTGATTGAGAATGGTTTGAATACTCACTGTTCTTCTTGTACATCAGAATTTCAAAGGAATTCATCTCATAGTTCTCAAAGGTTTGCCGCACCTTTTCAATTGTGTCTTTATCAGTCAGCTCCCCATACATAAAACTGCAAATCAACCGAAGAGCTCAAGTTAGCAAATCAACAGATATTTATTATTCTATGAGCACATGTTAAATACCTGTTCTGTACCCCAGCTCTGTGCTAGGCACTGTGATGCACATGTGAATGCCAAAATATTTGTTGGATCAAAAAGACTTAGTGATTTAGACCAAGGAGAGGGATAGCTGGGTCAAATGGTGGTTCCATTCCCAATTTTCCAAGAAATCTCCATACTGCTTTCCATATTGGCTGCACCCATTTGCAGTCCCACTAGCAATGTATGAGTGTGCCTTTTCCCCCACATCCTCACCAACACTTATTGTTGTTTGTCTTCTTAATAGCTGCCATTCTGACTGGAGTGAGATGAAATCTTAGAGTGGTTTTGATTTGCATTTCTCTAATTGCTAGCAATGATGAACTTTTTTGTATATTTGTTGACTGATTGTATATCATGTTCTGAGAAGTGTCTGTTCAGGTCTTTGGCCCATTTATTTATTGGGTTATTATTTTTTATTTATTTATTTATTTTGGTGCTTACCTTTTTGAGCTCTTTATATACCTTATAGATTAGTGCTCTATCTGTTGTGTGAGGGTTAAAGATTTGCTCCCAAGATGTAAGGCTCTCTATTCACCTCACATATTGTTTCTCTTGCTGAGAGGAAACTTTTTAGTTTGAATCCATCCCCCATTTATTGATTCTTGATTTTAATTCTTACGCTATAGAAGTCTTATTAAGAAAGTTGGGGCCTAATCCCACATGATGGAGATTAGGGTCTGCTTTTTCTTCTACTAGGCACAGGGTCTTTGGTTTTAGTTGAGTTTTGTGCATGGTGAGAGATAGGAGTTTAATTTCATTTTGTTGCATATATAGGTCTCTGTTTTTAAGTTGTTCTCTTTACCTACATACCAGGAAAAGAGAATACTTTGTTAAACTGTCTTTTAAAAGAAGAATAGATCAACACTAAATTATCCCTACCTGAGAACAAGAGATTTTCTTTTTCTGAGTTAATTTTCTAGATATGTGACCATCATTTAAGTGAAATGATGGTTTATATGCTAGCAATTTCCTTCCCAAAGTAACATAAATCATTGTAAAATTGAGTCTTCATATAGATGAAGTGCTGTAATTACACCCAGTTTTTACTAGTCTTAGGTACTCTTTCAAGCAGGGTAGATGTAAGTTTCCCCTACCTGAACATTAGATTGCAAATATCTACAATATAGGAAATAAGCCAAAGAGGTTCCTGAGCTATTAGGAATATAGCTAGCACAGAGGTTTATTTATTCCTATAGAAGGGACCAGCCAGGTAATTAAATAAGTTGTTTTGAATTGTGCATAAAAGTTTGCTAAATTAGCAAGATATTTTATTTGATTTTTTTGAAAGTGTTTATACCCAATAAGAAGAAAGAAAGGTAAGGAAAAGCTGTTCAAGTTACACCAAAAAAAAATGAAGGTAATCTTCTCAATTTATTGATTATATACATGAAGTACAGATGCAATGAAGATGAAGATACACAGATATATAGGTACTTAAGAAGAAACCATCACAGAAAGAATATAACAGCATTCTATTGCAGTTAGAGTCATAATTTCTAAACCTCTGAGCAGTAGGGAAAAAAATCTTAAATTTTCCATTGCTCAGTCATCACAGTATAAAATTTAAGAAAATTAAAATGTTTCCAAACATTTAATGTTTTCACCAAACTTGTTATTTGTCTGATTTAATACATGAAAATGTAACCTCTGAGAACAGACAAGTATGTCTGACCAGGCAGGCTTTACCACCCTCCATAGATGATGAGTTTATTTCTTAATTTGGCAGGTTTGGAAAAATGATTCCACTTCATGCAAACACCGCTGATGAGAAAAGGCTGAAGAAGGAGAAGAAGAGGAGCCAGAGGCCATGCTGTACCAAGCAAGACCTTGCCAGGGCTCAGCAGAGGAATGTCTGGCAGGATCCAGGCTCCATGCCCAGCTCAACACCTTGAAAATGCTTTGGTAGTGCTCAAATACACAAGATTTGCTGTTAGCACAATTTGCTAAGAGCGATCTAACAGTACAAATTACAAAGGCACAAAATATTGGCTCTCTTCTCTTTTTCTGAAACAAAGAATTTGAGCTGAGGAAAAAAAAAAACTCTATTAAAAAGGCTTTTGTCTCCAACATTATAAATTACTCTTCTCTAAAATGTTCATAAATTCTTAAATATTAATTCAATCATCTAAATTTTCTTTTCATTTTCATTTAATTTTATTTGATAGTCTTTCACATTTATTCAATATGAAACTTCATAAGCTTTTGAGTTCACATTTTTAATAGATAAAATGGTTTTTCTGAGCTTTTCTAAGTTTCTCCCCATCTTACTGAGTGATGGTAAATTTCTCAGTTGTAGGGACCATGCTGAACATATTCTTTGATTTTCCTAGCACATTCATGAATGAGAGAACATACTGCAATAAAAATTCCTCAATAAAAACGGAATGAGGGCTGCTGGGGTTGTGGCTCAGTGGTAGAATGCTTGCCTAGCAAGTGTGAGGCACTGGGCTTGATCCTCAGCATCACATAAAAATAAATAAAATAAAGATCTACAACTAAAAAAATTTTTTAAAAAAACTAAATAAGGTGAAGGTAATTCCAAAACTGAGAAAACCATTTTCTCTTTCCAAAAGACACCATGATAGATTATTCACCAAAACAAAGCCCAAACATAAATACCTGCAGGTACTGCTTTTTTGCATCACTTCTGCCCTGTGGTAACCAGACAGCTTGCAAAATCCATCATTGCTGTACACGATAGGCCAGTCCACTATCTGGGCATTCCCCAACACAAAATTAGTATCTGTTAAAATAAAAGGAAAGAAAAAAAGAAAAGGGCATGTGAGGCAAGATATTAGCTGAGATTCAGTAAGGATGTAAATAATGTCAACCAATCCAGGTATTTCTACTTCCCTTCAAAAAAAAATAAGTCTCTTGAACAGTAATATGGCCTTATGATATGAAAGAACAATGCTTTAGAACTGATTCCTTGGGATGCAAATGCTAACTAAGATTACTGTAGTCCAGGAACAGCTTAGTAAAGGGAGCATATTTAACCAACCGACCAATGAGTCCTGCAGAAATCCAGCGGATTCCTATGATACATACTCAAGTCCTAATTTTTCATCCAAGTGAAAGCATACCAATAATATAGAGCAGAAGAAAATCCAAAAGTAATTTCTTCTGGGCTCTGTCCAGCATCTTAGCCCTGTCAGTCTCTTGGCCAAAAGGTACAAATTGGCTGTATTGACCATGACAAGCGTTTCCCCATTCTGAGAGGACCTTCTTAGGAGGCAGAGGAAGGATACTGAGCACTACCTCCAGGAACACACACACACACACTGTAAAGGAACCTCCCCCCTGTGGGGAAGTGTGTACAGATCTCCCTCATGTGACCACTTTGTAGAGGGAGATCAAGATGCTCAAACCATAATTCCTTCTCACTGATTTTGAAATTTTGTGGTAATTAAGCTGGACATTGGTGCTTTTTCACAGAGCACCAGCCTGCCACTCACTTAGGATGGTAAAGTCCCAAGTTTTCAATTCTGCAAACATCATAATTATTTCAAAGTTACCATAATGTCATATTTGTTGCTCAATTTAAGTTTTCATGGGTGTTCCACATGGTGTGGGTGATGGGACAATTAAGTAGGACAGACCTAGCTGGCAGGCTTTGTGTGTTCTCATTACTTCTGACATTTTTGAAGACCAAAAGTATTCAATTTTTTTTTCTATTCTCAGAAAATCAACCATCCTTTTCAAGAATTTAAATTAATCAAATAACACCTGAAACTTACTTGCAATCACTGTTTTAGCTTGGCTCCCCCCTCTCCACAGAATACCACCCACCTTCACCTCCCAAAAAGAAATATTGCATACTCTTTTATGTTATAATTGGAGAGTGTACATATTGGTGTGTGTGTGTGTGTGTGTGTGTGTGTGTGTGTTTCACTATGTAGAGTGAAATAATGGTCCCTATCCAATTGAGAGGCCAATTTTTATATTTGTTCTTTTTTGATATGCATGACAGTAGAATGTATTTTGACATATTATATATATATGGAGTATAACTTCCCATTCTTGTGGTTGTACATGATGTGAAGTTACACTGGTCATGTATTCATAAATGAACATAGGAAAGTTATATCTGATTCATTCTGTCTTTCCTATTCCCATTCCCCCTCCCTTCCTTTCATTCACCTTTATCTAATCCAATGAACTTCTATTCTTCCCTCCCCCGCCTTATTGTGTGTTAGCATCTACATATCAGAGAGAATGTTCAGCATTTGGTTTTGGGGGGTTTAGCTTATCTCACTTAGCCTAATAGTCTGCAGTTCTATCCATTTACTGGCAACATGTCATAATTCCATTCTTTTTATGGCTGACTAATATTCCATTGTGTATATATGTCACATTTTCTTTATCCATTCATCTGTTTAAGGGCACCTTGGTTGGTTCAATAGCTTAGCTATTGTGAAGTAAGCTGCTATAAACATCGCTGTAGCTGATTCACTGTAGTATGCTGATTTTAAATCCTTTGGGTATAAACCAAGGAGTGGAAGAGCTGGGTCAAATGGTGGTTCCATCCCACGTTTTCTGAGGAATCTCCATTCTGCTTTCCCCAGTGGTTGCACCAGTTTGCAATCCTACCAGCAATGTATGAGTGTACATTTTTCCCCACATCCTCGCTAACATTTATTGTTACTTGTATTCTTGATAATTTCCATTCTGACGGGAGTGAAATGAAATCTCAGTGTAGTTTTGATTTGCATTTCTCTAATTCCTAGACATGTTAAACATTTTTTCATATATTTGTTAACCGATCATATTTATTCTTATGTGAAATATCTGTTTCAGTTCCTTAGCCCATTTATTGATAGGGTTACTTGTAGTTTTGGGTGTTAAGTTTTTTGAGTTCTTTATATATTCTGGAGATTTGTTCTCTATCTGAGGTGCAGGTGGTACAGATTTTCTCCAATTCTGTAGGCTCTCTCTTCACATTCTTGATTGTTTTCTTTGCTGTGAAGAAGCGTTTTAGTTTGATACCATCCCATTTATTGATTCTTGATTTTACTTCTTTTCTTTTGTGGGGGTGGGGAGCACCAGTGATTGAACTCTGGAGCACTTGACTACTGAGCCACATCCCCAGCCCTATTTTGTATTTTACTTAGAGACAGGGTCTCACTGAGTTGCTAAGTGCCTCAATTTTTGCTGAGGCTGGCTTTGAACTTGTGATCCTCCTGCCTCAGCCTCCTGAGTCACTGGGATTACAGGTGTGTACCACCCCGCCCAGCTTGATTTCACTTCTTGTGCTTTAGGTTCCAAAGCAGATATAATGGATAGTTGAGTCTACTTTTTCTTCTAGTAGGTGCAGTGTCTCTCATCTAATGCTTACATCCTTGATCCACTTTGAGTTGACTTTTATGCAGGGTGATAGATGGGAGGTTAATTTTATTTTGTTATATATGGATTTCCAGTTCTCCCAGCACCACTTGTTGAAGAGGCTGTCTTTTCTCCAATGTATGTTTTTGGTGCCTTTGTTTAGTATGAGGTAACTCTATTTATGTGGATTTGTCTCTGTGTCTTCTATCTGTACCATTGGTCTTCATGCCTATTTTGGTGCCAATACTGAGCCATTTTGTTACTATAGCTCTGTAGCATAATTTAAGGTCTGGTATTATGATGGAGTGGCTAATTTTGTTCAAGGACAGCATTTATAATTTATTCACAATATGGGTAACCATCCCTGTCTATCTCGGGAGGTGACTATGTCTGGGTCAAACAGGCTTCTCCACCCTTCATAGATGAATTTATTTATTGATTAGTCAGGTTTTGAAAAATGATTAACCTTCGTACAATCAGCACAGGAGACAGAAGACTTTTTTTCCTACTAGTGAAGAAGACAAGGAGAGGGGCCAAAAGTCATATGAGCCAGGACCTTGCAGAGAAGGGACAGGGAGGAGAAGAAACTAAATGCAGTGGTACATTCTTGAGAGTAGTCCATTCTTGATCTATTTAAAAGGAACATAAAATACAACCTCAAGGAGTGAATCTGTAAACCTACTATTTTTATAGTACAACTTTAATGGAAATCTATAACCAGCCCTTTCCACTATCTGATCCATATATACATAAATACTTCTGGAGTACCCACTAGAAACCCAGTATAATGCAAGACCCTGGGTTTTTACAGATTGATAAGACATGCTCTCTGCACTCCAAGAACTTCACAGGACAAAAAGACATGTGCACATCTAACTAAAGAAACGGGTCAGAAAACAACTAACTCTGAGGGAGGCAAAGGACTTTTTATAAGAGCAGACAACATTTGAACTTGCTCTAGCCTCATAAGACAAGTCAGATTCATTCAAACATTTCAGATGAGAGCACAGGTAGGAAGATGGCGGGAGGTGAGCTTCTCCAGGCTGGAACGTCAAAGCTTCCAGTTTATGATGGAGGCAGCAGAATCTTTATGTTGGTATTCTCTTCCCGAGTAACTCACATTCCCCGAAATGAACAACTAAGCCTTAAAAAGAAATACAAAATTCACCAAATGATCCCTGCGTGCAAATGAATTCTAGTCAGTTTAACCATCTTTTTTTTTTTTTTTTTGGCCTCCTAATATAGTGATTAAATTCCCTCAGAACACCTACACATAGGAGGAGAGACTGAGCGAACTTTTTCATGGCTAATTCTCCACTGATACTATCTATGTGTAAGAGGGAAAAACAGCCATTTACAAGTAACTGTTTGATCACAGGAAATACAGATGTTCCCTCAGGAGATATAGATGTGGGTAGAAGCAATTGTTCTTCTCTGGGTTTTCCTGACTATCTTCTCCATGCTTTGTCTTTTCCTTTACTTGAAAACTATTCACCTTTGACTTCCTAAAATGTTGTGTACTGACCTATTTCTAGATGTGTTCATTGTCTTTCTATCGTAGACCCCAGTCAAATAAAAATAAATGGATTACAAAGATCTTTAAAAAACATAAAAATGAGAATATGATAAAATATGAGCCAACATAAATCACTGTGAAAGAAGCAGGAGTAACAGAGGAAAAAGAACTTTAAAAACCAACATCCCTAATTGGTCTCCTTGAGAGATTCCAGCAGTATTACATCCATTAAAAAAAAAAAAAAAAAAAGGATACAATGGGAGGGAAAGAGCCATAACAGAATAAAGGGCTCTCATAAATTAAAAATAAGTAGAAATTTAAAATTCAACATAAATGTTAAAACCTAAAGTCTAACCAAAAGTAGGTCAGAAAGAGAAAGAGACAAGACATATAGGGAAAAAATAAGACCTAAAAATTTATTCAATATGATAAGCAAGAGGAACCCTAACATGAACAGCAAAAAGAGAGAAAGAAAGAGAGAGAGGGGAAAAATCCAGGAAATATTCTTTTAAATAAATTAAAACAACCAAATATAAAAGTAGAATATTTGCATATTTTCAGATATGCAAATATTTGGAGAATTTATTTTCCACACATTCTTTCTTAGAAAGTTACTTGAGGATGTGTACCAGCAAAATGAGAAAGTGTTTTGTTTTGTTTTTTCAATAACTAATACAAACGGGAACTGGGGAAAAAGTGGTTTCAAATGTAAAAGTAGGGAAGGAAGATAATAGAAAGTATTTAATATACGTAGTTCAGAGAAGAGAAGCTTCAAAAGAGAGTTATCGAGGCATAAAGTAGGCTAGTATATGATGATGCTCCTGATGATTTGGAACAATGTAAAAAGGCAATAATGGTGTGCATTTGGGGTGGACAGTGGGGTGGGGGTTGGCAATGAAAATATA